TAATTTTCAGAAATTGTAGCGCTGCCTTGGTTAATAATCTATGCCAAATTTAGTACAGGCACCTTGTCAAATGAAAAATATATCCGCAGTTCCAGCAAAGAAGCAGCTTCTTGCGGGGAAAAGGAGGTGTACAAAATTTTAGATCGATATCTCAAAAACTGAGGTACTTCTAATGGTACACTGATTTGGGATATGGTGTTTCACTTGATTAGAAACACTGTAGAAACATACTTAAATTGTAAATTGTAAAAAAAAAAAACATAACAGTAAATTTTTTCGAATCGTGGAAGCAAATCTTACAAATAAAAATTTTTATATTACTAAATCAGCGACTTTAAAGTTAGTGTAAAGGAAATAATATTCTCTACTATATTGGTTGAGATGATGACCGCGGTGTTTAGTGGGATCGTTTGAAGATCGTGAGCTTGAGCTAAAGACAAGGCAAACTTAAAAAAAAATTTTTAGGATATTTTCTCTAATATAGGCCAGCCAATTACCGTTACCTCACATATTTTATTTATAAAAGTTGACTATTAAATTTCTTAATTTCAATGTTTTATTAATTAAATGAAAACTATACTCAATCAAACAATACTTTTAACCACCTAAACTCCCTAACATGAAATAACTTACCTCTACAATAGCAATAAATCACTATAAATATCACAAAAATAATTGTATTGCTATTTTATTGTTGTTTTTTGTTGCAGTGACACCGCCGGATGCCAAAGCAATGATTGTCGGTCCATCTGATCTCTATGTGAAGGTGGGTAGCGCCATTACGCTCACCTGTCATGTGAAGCAACCATCGTCGGCGTCGGATATTGGTCCCATCTATTGGTATCGCGCCAACTACATGCTGACACCCTTTGTGGCGCATCCGAATGAGGCAGCCATCGATATGCGGCGCATATCAATGGAATCGAATTTGGGCGAAAAGCTGCAAAGCCGGTAAGTAGAACGTAGCCACTGACGATAAAAACGAACTAAATGTGGCAAAATGTAAGGGTATTCAACTGGTAAAAGGTAAAAGCGGTTTTTCTGCGTTTTACCACTGCTTTCAGTTACAGCCTGATGCAATAGAGAATTGGGTAAAACTTCAACAATATATAAGTATAAATGTACATTTAAATGCATGCTGTCGCTGTAAGTAGTTGTGATGGTGAATATATACTGTGCTAAAAAACTCTGAATACAAACGCAAAAAGAGTTTAACTACTGTTTAGGCTAGGTAAATGCTTTAATAGCACTCATTTAGTTGGTCTTTCGATGAAAACTTTTTACTAAACATTTGAGGATATAATACTAAAGTATATTTGCCTCATCGGAATAGTTATTTCAGCTTTTATGCCTCTATTCACTATTTTGGATTAATTATAGGTGTAGCTTTGCGTAGTTTTAGGTTATAATACCTCAATACTTCTAAATTTTTGCAGGGTATAAATGTAACAGTTTCGCTTATATACTTTAGGTTAATAAATATCTGATTATAGGTACTAGGGTGGGCTAAAAAAATTTTAATGTTGAATTAGTGACTTGAAATCAACCTGAGTTAGGTTCGGTAAGGTTAAAAATCGCCAACAACTGCTGTATAATAATCATAAAGACTCTCATGATTAGATAAATTGCTTTGCACCTACCACAAATTTCTTGAGGCGACCAATATCAGTATCGGCTATTTCTCCCGATTCACCCAAAATATGATTGATTTCTATATACTTTTTTCACATATAAAAAAAATTGCGGTCGGAAGATTTTTCGCAGCAGTGTATCAACAACAAGTTAGCTCTGTAGTGTGTGCGAACGTGTATATATTTAGTCAGTAATGTGTTGGGAATGCGAACACATACATCGGGATCGTTAGAGAGGAACTGATGCGGCATTCAAACCGCGTGAATGACAAAGAGATTCCGACTAAAATGAATGCGGATAGTGACCGCAGGGAATGCCTTTGAAGTGGCAGCTCTATTTTTGCGTTAAGCATGAGCAAAGTTTGATTTTTATACTCTTGCAACATGTTACATAGGACATAAAATGACATTTAATTGGTTAAGAGTTATAAAGGGTGTTTTTTTAGACATTTACTTTTAGAAAAGATATAAAACGCATATAATTTAATGTTATGGCCAAAAATTTGGCCTTATATAAAGAGAAGGGTTTGTCATTATGTTTTAAAAAAGATTTTAAGCAAGTGACCGCTGTGGCTGGACGGAATAAGTTCTGGCTGAGAGACCCAATTTTCGACCACTTCGACATACTTGTATATGACATGTCGTCCACATCAACTTCCTCTAATTCAGGCACGAAAAAGTGATTAATCATGGCTCTATAGCTGTCCCCATTGGTTGTGTAACATTATTCCCCATTTTGAAGAAATATCTACCAATGATTCCCTCTGCCCATAGAGCACACAAAACAGTGTCATTTTAATTATGTAACGGCATCTCAAAAATAGCTTGTGAATTGTCATTACTGCAAATGTGACAATTTTGTTTATTAACATATCCATTCAACCAAAAGTGAGCTTCACAGTAGACAAAATTTTCTTGTGAAAATCGAAATCGGTGGCCATTTCGTTTTAAGCCAATTCACGGAACGTGCAACGCTCGTGATGGTCGTTCGGCTTTAATTCTCGCGCGAGTTGGATTTTGTAAGCCAAGATCCTTCCGCAAAATCCTCCAAAAAAAAAATGGGCGCAGCTCCAATTATTGCGCGCGATGGCAGATGGACTCATTTGCGTCTTCTTTGATAATCTGCTCCACAGTAGTATTAGCGGCTTCCGTGCGCACTGTACGGTATCTCTGAGGATGTGCATTATTCACTAAAGGAAACGTGGTCCGAAACCGATATATTGTTGCACGAATTATTGACTTTGCTGTGCGATTATGTTGACCAAATATTGGACGCAGCGCGTAACGTGTCGAGAAAATAGAACACTAATTTTTTTTGCTAATAAATCATTATGAAATAGCAAATGAAAATTAATATAGATATATAAAAAAAATAAATAAAACAAGTAACAATTGTCAAAGAGATCAACTTCGAAAAAAGTATTGCCTCATTGAAAACCACAGGTTTAAAAAATTAAAAAAAGTTATTATATATAAAATTTTATTAAGGTAAGTTACGGATTTATTTTCCGCTGTCTGTCTATTCTTCCTTGTAATCGCGGATCGGACAATTGCCACGTTTGCAAATTTTTGTTTTTCAGAAAGTCATAGTGCCCGTTGTTTATTTGACCAATTGAGTTTAGAATATGCAATTTAGAGCTAGGAGGTTATAGAGATTTTGGAGAGCGACTTAAAAAATCAAAATCGAAGCTCTCTAACCACAACTCATTTCGCATATAACAGCCATTACCAAAAGTCTCTATCTCTACCTCTGTTAAATGTACTGTTAAATTAGAAATTTACATATTCTCTTTGCTAATTGCAGATTACGCATAGCGAATGCACAAACTGGCGACTCGGGCAATTACACGTGTATGCCGACCACAGCCGAAGCTGCCAGTGTCATGGTTAATGTTATAAATGGTAAGTTGTTTTGAACAAAAAACCATAGTTTCACACGAAAATGGCACGAAGCTGCTTAAATAATTATGAAACAATTTAAGTTAGGCTATATTTGATACTCCTAAATAGATGCCTATTTAAAATACTTCTTTTTTTATTCCTTTCCTTTAGCTGAAACGCCCGCGGCCATGCAAAAAAGCGCCGCCACACAGTTACCGAATCGTTGCTGCATTCTCCTGCTTCTTGCGGCATTCTCAGTTCGCTGGCTGTTGCAGTGCTCCGCATCTTCGTCAAAATTTACGCAACACTATATTCGAGCAAAGGAACCCAACAGGACGCAGCCATTACCGGAGGCAACTTGCCGAACATACTCCGTCGCAAATATCGAATATCAAATTATTTTGAATAGAGAAATTTGTTATTGTTCAGTGTCATGATGTTGCGGCAATCAAATTTAAAAATACACTAACTATAAATTTCGAAATGTAAGGTATCCTAAAAAAAAACTAAAAAGGCTAGAAAACACATAATTATATTCAAATGATTTTTAACTACGAGTATATAAGTATATGTACAGGAATGTACACTTAGATATGCATTTAAATAGTTTACAACTTCATAACACAAGTGTTGCTTTTACAGAACAAAATTTTTGTAAAAGCAAAATCAACTAAATTAAATTTTTTTGTGTATAAATGTTTGGCATTTTGTCTGAATTAGTTGAAGAATTTCGAGCGAACTTGGTTGAAATTATATTAATACTCGCTGCCTTATATTTGTCAAACACATATTTTCAATGAATTCTTTTGAAGTTTATAATTTGTTAATTAACTATTTTAAGATATTGAAGTAGTGAGTTTTTGTTGCTACTTTGTAGGTAACATATTTCGTTATTTTTGTGTGGAATCACAATATTAATTGATTGCACCATGTTCTTTTGTCCGTCCAAACATAGGATAAAAATATGAGATATCTCAACCCTTTCAGTTTGCTTAAAAAATGGAACGCTCACTTATAAAATGAAAGGTCATATCTACTGCAAATAATATACTCGGTTTCTTCGGAGATTATATTGTTGCCTTAGACCATGTCACATTTCTTGAAGATAACTCGTCAAATGAAACAGTCTTCCAAGTACTTGATGGCGATCATTCAGTTTGTATGGCAGCTGTATGCTATAGTAATCTGATCAGAACAATTTCTTCGGAGATTGTATTATTGCATTTGAAAATAACGGAAATTTCGTGAAGATATTACGTCAAGCATTCCGATTGTTTGGTTTGTATGGCAGCCGACAAATAAGCGTAATTAGTGAAAAAAAGATATGTGCAAAATTTTCGATCGATAGCTTAAAAACTGAGGGACTAGTTCGTATATATACGGACGGACGCACAAACGAAGCGTGGTTGAATTGTTGTATTTACACCTGTTTCAATTAAACTTAAAATTTTTATGAAAAATTCAAACAAGTGAGTTTTTAGGTTTTTATTTTTATCATTTACAAAATTGTTTTAGAGAAATTTGTTTTTGGGGGTATTTTAGTCTAAAGATATACATTTCAGGTAATTTTTGAAGTGTCGTAAAAAAGGCAATTAACATTTTTACAAATTTTTTTTATTACACTTTATAAAATATATGGAAAAATAAAAATATAAAAAAAAATTATTAGTTCCAAAAATTAGCAGCTGACGAAGTGGGGAGTCTCAAAAAATGTGTACGTGATCATACCCACACTTTTAACATTCCCAACAATCTGAAACAAAAAAAAAAATGGAAAAAACCTTTTTTCACGAAATCTTGACTCCTTGAAAAGAAAATAAACAAAAAAAATTCGAAACAAGTGGTACAAATTGTTTCGAATTTTTTTAAATATAGTAAAATAGTTGATATTTGGAGATATGGATAGTTCCAGACAAGTCCACAGAGAAGGTATGATAATGATCAATAAAAATTGCTGAAACCTCTTTTTTCTTACAGTGTAAAAAATTTTTACGTTTCTATGAGAACTTTTCTCAGAAAATGAAAAAAGGACCCCACTAATCGACACAAAGCTGCTTTTATTATTTCACCTACCTATTATTTCATAGCAGCAGCTGTAAACATCAGCTTTGAGTCGTACTAATTAATTGATATATATACTTTTCATTTATTTAAGAACTATTTTTATGATAATGTAAACAGTAATAGGAATTATTACATTCCTTGTATGTATACCCTAAAAAATGTTGATATATAAGGTTGGCCGTTATTTCCCTTCCGCTTTTTTGCTCTTCATTCAATGCTTTATAAAAGTGTTACAGTGATCGGATTTAGTTAAAATATGCGCCGTTTTGTTCGATGATCTGTTTCCATCTAGACGTCAACTTCATAATACCTTCCTCGTAGAAGCCCCCCTCCTTATTTGCGAAGAATTCGGACAGCCGCTTTTCACAAGCCTCTTTTGAGTTCAACTGCACACCACCAAGGGCATTCGCCATGGACAGGAACAGGTAGTAATCACTTGGCGCTACGTCCGGGCTATATGGTGGATGCGATAAAACCTCCCATCCGAGCTCCCGTAGCTTCTGACGAGTCATCAACGAAGTGTGTGGTCTGGCGTTGTCCTGGTGGAACACTACACCCTTCCTGTTGGCCAATTCTGGACGCTTCTGGTCGATCGCCTGCTTCAAGCGGTCCAGTTGTTCGCAGTAGATGGTAGAATTAAGCGTCTGGCCATATGGGAGCAGCTCATAGTGGATGATTCCCTTCCAATCCCACCAAACACACAGCAAAACCTTCCTGGCCGTCATTCCCGGCTTGGCCACTGTTTGTCGTAACTCGATGTATTCCATGATTTGATCGGTATTTGTCGTCACAGGTCTTCCGCCGGCTGGCTTATCCATGGTGTCGTTTTCATCGGCTCTGAATCGTCGAAACCATTCCTCCGCGGTTCGAAGTGATAGAGTACCATCCCCCAAAACACCATTAATCTCACGGAACGTTTCTCTAGCGGATTTGCCTTTAACGAAGGAAAACTTTAAAATAGCGCGAATTTCGGCGTTAGTGAACTCCATGTTTACACGTCTATAACTGTTGAACGCAATATCCAAACTAATCATGCATAGCGTTGTTTTGTAGGTTATGTCAAGACCTTTCAAATCATGTATAGTGTTGCTAGATACGAGCTCTGTAGCGCTTTGTACATAGCCGCGAAATTCAAAAGACAAAAAAGCGGAAGGGAAATAACGGCCAACCTAATATTAGCTGTATTAGCTTTTTTTACCGTAGTCACAAAAGAAGCAGATGAAATCCACTCTGTGTTCCGTTTTCATTTGCAGTTAGTTAACAAAAATGTATGAGTCGTAACGAATTTCCAAAAACATATGTATGTAAATAAGCATATAGTGGTAAAACTATAGACTATTTAAGTCCGAAAATAATATTTGTAATAAACTTAGAATAATCTGAATCCACTTTTAGCATATAGTAGATGCAATAAATGTAGTACAATGAGAAAGCATAGAGGTAGTGATTTTGCTTAGCACAATTAAGTAAGCTTGTTAAAAATAATGTACAAAAAGCTTTTTTAAATTATATGTAAAATTTTTTAACAATAATATTATAATAAATTGTTGATAATTAGTTTTATAAAATCGAATAAAAAGAAAAGTACAATGGTTAAGACATTAAATATAATTTTATTGTAAATATTATTTTTTAGAATAAAAGTTCCATTTTATAATCTTACACTTAAATAAAACTAGAATTTCGAAAAAATTATAACTACGTAAACATTTTCACGTATTCTTATAAAATATATACTGTGAAATATTCGGAAAAGTTTTGAAATAATTTTTTGATATAGAAGTAGGGAGCAAAGTTCTTTAATAGATAGTTGAAATCCCATATTTATATTTTGTCATCTTTTATATGAAGTTTTAATATAGTTTATTTATTAAAAAAATGTTTGTACGATTTATCTTATGTTCTTTAAGTTTCAAATGTTTTTAAATTTCAGTGATTTCAGTGCGGAAGAACTTTTCTTCGGACCATTATAGCATATAAAACCGAAGCCGAAGTTTTGGCTTTTGTATGAGTGAAGAGTGTATTATAGCTTCGTGCAACCGAAGTTAACATGTTTTCTTGTTTTAAGTATCATTTCGCTCCCAGTTTTTAAAAATTGTCGACTGAAATATATAGCTTACTTGTAATATAAACAAGCTTTCATTCGCTGTACTGAATTATAAATAATACTAAATGTTAAGAGCAATTTTTTTTGTTAATAGATCTCTGTGTACTATATGTTATGTTATGTACTTGTAAATAGTACTTAAAATAAGAGGTAAGTTTAATAATTCCTAAATATTACAAATAATATATGTAGCATCAAGTATACAAAATAAAAGATATTTTACAAAACAAAACATATTTACTTGGTTTGCTATAATAGAAATGCGTATAATAATCGAAATGTTAAGCATTAGTTTCTTCGAAATCAATTTTACAGAATAAAAGGAAATATTTTAATAGTAAGTCCAATGTCAGTCGTCTCATCATTATGTCATTATCAAAGTCAAATTTCTCACTGGTGTAAATCTCTCCATATTCCCAACTATTTCTATACACTTTGAAACTGTACAGAGTATTTTAAAAATTTCCTCATCCTTATGAAACTTGGTACTAGTGCAGTGTTCCTTGGCACCCAAGTGGGGTTGGTATTGCAGTTGGGCCGAATCGCTCTACTCTATTACCACGTCCACGAAGTGCCGTTAAGCGAAAACATATAAAGTGCTGTAAATAAGTTTCAAATTAAGGTAAAAAACCGTGAGTTGGTACAAGGTTTCGAGGGGAAAAGAACATCTGTGGGCGGTTAAACCAGATGAAAACTCCGCCGACTCTCCATATTACGGAGAGTTGAAAACGCAAGATGGTATAAAAACACTCCAGGTTAGCCGGTGTCAATATTGAACAATGGGCATGGCACTACCCATCTTTAGGTGAAATTCTATTTCTCAGAAACTACTTAACGGATTTTAACTAAATTTTGTATATGATATTATTTTGAATTTTTGTATGTTATGTTTGGAAAATGGGCGAAATTGGGCTACAACAACGCCTACCTCTATATCACAATTTTAAATTTCATTTGATACTTTCATTTTACAGAATATAAACCAAAAGGCAATGATGTTATTAAAACAAAACTTTGCAAACCAAGTTTATTTAAAGTAAGTGATCTCACGTTCAAAAATAGTCGAAATCGGACATCTTTTAAAGTTCTCAGATACCGAATACGTGTGCCTCAGTGAATATGGCCGACTTTTTACCGCAAATATCGGTCAATCTGTGAGGTACCTAAATGAAAGTCAGATAGCATCGTTTTCTGGAAAAAATATGCTATGTTGTCAAAAATGGAAAAGATCGCTTCCATATTTTCCCTAGTCTACATATACCTATTATAAGGATTTTCAAACATCCACTTGACTTTATACCTCATATACTGCCTAATATGTTAGGTATATTCATGAAACTTAGAGAGCATCTTTTCTTAGTAATGGTGTGTCGTAATGCTAAAAATGGATAAAATCGGATAGGTATTGTATTTCCTTTAGCTCAAATATGCCCGATATAACGATTTCCGACTGAAACCATTTACGTTGGTCAATATATGTGATAACTATACTTCAATATCTTCATAACCATAATGAGGTTTAGCGCCGAAAATAAATTAAAACGGTTTAAATCACTAAATATTTGTTTATTATATTTTCTTGCCAGTTTCTCATTTCTTCACTTTTTCGTTATTTCGCTCTTTTTGAGAGTAATTTATAAATCTTTACAATCTTCGTCTTCCTGATAACTAGCAGCTACTAGCACCTAAGGAACAAACGTAATGACATATATTTTATGACTTACAAATTGACATAAAGAAAACCAGTCATTTGTCCAAGTTTGTTTGGATAGAAAAAAAATAATAAAATTGTTTACCCTGTCCGCATATCTATTTTCTGCTTAAAATTAAGGAAAAAATTTGAAGAACTGGACCAATGCGCAGGCGATTCAAGAAAAAATGTTCCCAAGTCCATCAGCGTAAATTTTAATTAAAGGATAGGTTTCTATGCGAAATGAACGGGTTTTTTTATCGTTCATGTACAAGTGTGATATAATTAAGAAATGTTATAGCAAATTTTTTTATAATAAACAATGCCCATGATGAACCAGAAGAGTCACTCAGAATCCAAAGAAAAATTGCATAATCGAATATCATAATGGAATATTCATCGGTGCCATCTGGTCTAATTCCCTTCGTACACAGAAAAAGGAAATTGCATTTCATTCACACTCGATCAAGTTATTAACGAGCACATACTTATGCACACATGTAACTATCTAAACAGGCTTCAGGGCATACGAGTATATAGTAAAGCGAGCTGAAGTGGGCTGAGTGAAATCAAAACAAAAAAGAAAACGATGAAAAGCATGGCTTGTAAAAAGAAAAAGTTTGTTTGTTGAAAGCTGTTTTGCTGTTATGAAAAAGTGAAATGGCAAATACTATGCATTGGGGCAGAGGCATTTGGAAGCAAGGAAGATTAAATTGTCGATAATATGAGTGTGTTGTTCAATGAACAACGAAAATCACTTCGGCTTTCGACTTGCGCAAGCGTAGTTGAATTTGGTGCTGCACTAGTCTTTAATCTCACATTTACAGAATTTGCATGAGAAACATAATGCTAGTGAGTAATTGTTTTATGGGGTATACGGAATATCCGTATTTAGCATTTTTTATTGATCTGTACCATATCTTTTATATACATAATTTCATAATCACAGCAATCGAGGTTAAAAGCAGTCACTTACGTAAGTTTTTCCCTCTAACCGCTGCTGGGTATTGAATGGTTTAAGCTCATGTGTAGATATTTAAAGTATTCATATGAGTGCAATACTGTGAAAATTCTATTTTTGTAATCTTTATGTTAGTTTGCAGCTCAACTGAACAACATGTTAGTATTTCTGGTTTATCGATGAAATTGATAACAATTATTGTATTGAAGAGAATTGGCTATTGCATAACTCTTTTCTCCTCGAACTTACATCTATTGTACAATAGAACTCCTCTGTGTGGTAAGCTGAAAGATATTGTTCGGTTCGCAAGGTAAAAATAGCTGTCTTCCATCGATTCGCTAAGCGTTAGTGAAAAGCAATTGTTCAAGCAGACTGGCAACACTCATGTTCTCTGATGCAATAGACTAGCGATTATTTCGATAGACAAAATACTTTTTCCGTGCCCCATAATATTCAAGTAAATCCTTGCTTTTGCCTAGCTTTCACATCTTATGTTTTCCGCATACTCTTTTAACTTATGGTTGCTTTCACAAGTAAAACGTTTGAAAAGAGTGCAGAGTTGAAAGATAGCGAGTAGAAAATGATGAATTGTATCAGCGAAAATTTCGTTCTGTGAGAAGAATCTATAAATATTGTTTGAAAGTTCATCATAAAACACTAATAAAGTAAGAGGAAATATTAGATTATGTACATATTTGTTTTAGTATCTACTTACTATAATTAATAATAACGTTTTTCAATAACAGTAATTTCGTACTTCGAAGGAAAATATTTCGATTTCGGAGACTATGATTCAATCTCTCGAAATAAAATGCCAAGGCCAGAAAGTCCCATAAGCGGACATAGGCGGGACCAGCATTTCTGTCCAGTTAATAGGGTTGTTCGCTTCATAGATTGGCCATAGTAAAAAAAATGTTAAGACCCAATATGCACGGTTAGTGGAGATGTCCGCTTAATAGAGCGTACAGGTTTTTTTTTCAAGTTGGTACATTTGTCGTGAGAAAACACACAAAGTTACAAGTCATTCTCTCAATTAATTCGTTGTTTACAAGCCATTTGAAGTTGACGTGTCAGAGTATTTTTTTACTATGCAAAAATTCAATATTACGCAGTGATTAGATTCCTTGTTTTGAAAAGCTTAAAAGCAAAGGAAATTTATGAACAATTGTTAGAAGTGTATAAGGAGTCCATTCAAAACGCACCGTTGAATTTTGGGCTGGGGAATTTAAACGTGGTCGTACTTGGCTTGAAGACGATCCACGCGAAGGATGACCAGAAACCGCAACCACACCAGAAATCATTGAGCAAGTTAATGAAATTATTAATGAAGTTACAAGTTTGACTTAGCGTGAAATTGCTAATGCCATAGGCATCTCAGACAAACAAGTACTTCATATTTTATATGGAGAATTATATATGAAAAGCTGTTTGGAAAGTTAGTGCCGCACACGTCAACAATTCAACAAAAACTGGATAGAAAACAAATTTCTCAGCATACATAATTTGGAACGTTTTAAG